TGGTTCACCTCTTTTTTTTTTTTTTTTTTTTCTTTTCTTTTTGTGAATGTCGACATTTATCAGTGTACTATTGATAATATTTGAGATATGTATGATTGACGTGACGTCAGAGCGCAATGATCCTACTCCTTCCTTGAATGTTCCCCTCCGTGTATGTATAATGCGATTGATCTCCTGGCATGAATATTGAAGACGCATGTTTTGGACGCCATGCTTGACGAATGAAAGTGGTCATTAAACAATTCATTGGATGTGCTCCCTTCTATGCAACCAACCATACAAACAAACACTAAAGTACATACATACATACATGGTTCATGCTATGAGTTATGATATGATTTCGGTAGTTCATCAATTCCATCCAAACCAAAGACACCATGTGCAGACCGTACCAAACAAACCACATACGCCTCTTATTAAAAAAAATACGCCATAATTAGCTTCAATAGATAATGGTGAAAGTGGAATGCACTCTTAATGGAAAGTATCAAATGAGTCAAGAGCCCGTAGCGTATCCAAGAAATTCCGAGCAGCATCATCGAAGATCGCCAACGGGAAATTTTCCAAATTCGCAACCATGGATGGCTCGAGGTTTACCTCCTGCGGTTGGTGGCCGCCACGTCGAGTGAAGTAGTATTTGCCTTGGTGTCTGGACCAACTCTCATTGATGTAGGTCTGGAGTTCGCGCGTTGCTGAGATGCGGATCTCGTTGAAGAATTTTGGGGCGTTGGTAGGTGTGTTTTCGGTTGTGAAGATGTTGGATGGGTGAGGGATGTTTTCAGGTTCAGTTATGAGGAGTTGGTCATGTAGGAAGGATGTGCTGAACAGTATGAACTGCCGGAATGCGTGTATCTGGGATATGATGTTGTCACCAGCGTCGGTGGCTCGATCAATGTAGTCCACGACTCGCAGAGAAGACGTTATCATTTCGATGAAAGAAGCAACCGTGACTACCACTGGGGGTTCTTTGAGCATGTCGGTATTGCCGACGATGCTATGCAGAGCATGGTACGAGGCCTGGAAGACCGAGCTGAAAATACCCACGACTGATGCAATGCAGTTCGTATCTGCGGTGTCTATATGGAAGAGCAACTCTTTGAAAGTGTGGGATATAGTCTGTATGATCGGTTGACTCAGAAGCCATGCACCGGGGGTGGTGAAAGCCATCTGAAGATATGCTGGAAACACGGACTGCAACAGGGTAGCCCTGAGGGTTGGCCTAGCCGGATCTCCCGCTTCATAAGTATGTGCTATGGAAGTTTGCAACTGGTCGACAAGGTAGACCTGCTGACCGTCTATAGCCGCTCGCTCTGAAATGCCCTGGATGAACATGATCAAGGTCTTTGCGACCTTTTCAGATGAGAGCTTCGGTTCATAGCCCTTCAACCGTGCAACGATATACGTCGGGTCGGTTGAAGGCAAAGGAAACGAGGTTGGATCGGTAAAGAACGGGTCAACGGGACAGATATCCCTCGTGTGCTGCTGTAAGAATCCGACAATCCGGTGGACAAAGTCCACATAAGCCCCTTGTGCACTTGCTGCGCTGTTGCCCAGCTCCTGATAATTTGCCTTCATTGAGGACATCATTGTCTGGATGAGTTCACGGTACTCTTGCTTCTCAGTTGAAAGCGCTCTACTTGCTGTAATCTCCAGGTCTTGGACGTGTGCGCGCATGTTTGACAGTAGACTTGATATCAAAGACAACCGACGTTGACTGAGTTCTTCCAGCGTGATTGAGTATCGACCATCCTTTCTATCCACAGAGAAGGGTAAATTCTGCAACAAATTATTGTTCGGATCGCAATTCAACAACGCCTCAGTTAAAGAGTGTTGGAATTTCAACATCGATACTCGTTCAACTAAGCTCGACATCCACATCCCGAGGACTTGCATTTTGCATTCAGACATGAATCGAGCATCCTTTTCAATGCAGCTTGCCAGAAACTTAGGCGTGAACTTTCTAGTTTGCACCGTCTTTCGAAGCACGGCCCAAGAATCGCCATCGTAAAGGTTAAGATAGTTATCCCAATGCCGGAACCCATTTTTCACAAGCACTTGGGCGATAGAAGTCCAACAATCGACAACATTTAGGAGAATTGCGTCTTCCGGGCAGTGATCCTCACCAAAACTGTTAGAGACAAGCTGAGATACCGCTGGGTGAAGGACCTTTTCCATGTATTCAATTCCTTGGGGACGGGTAGCGGGAGAAAACTCATTTCCGTACATTGCCTCGATGTCAGTCCAATCTCCATACTCTTGGCTATCTTCATCCACTGGCGCTGGTGGGCTTGTTGATACAGGAGCAGAGGCGGAGTTGCACTTCTGAACATAGGCCTTTAACATCTGTAGAGCCTCTGACACTGTCGTATTGACACGAGCAAGCCTAGGATTGAACAGCCCCAATATTACACTGATAGGCGACTTAGAAACTAGTCTATGGGCGTGTTCCAGTGTTGGGGCCGATTGAATAGCGTTCTGTAAGTTATTCAGGGCCGTCTTCAGTAGAGACTCGATCTGTCTCTGATTCTGTGAAATCGTCCGTTCGATCAACTGGCGAGAGAACTGATTGTCCTTTGTGTTTTGCGCTTCTATCTCTCTTCGAGCAAGCATGTGCTGTTTAATGAATTCGCTGACAAAGTAACTATGCCAATCAGCAAATGCTTCTAACCCAGATACATCCTCGTCCGTCGTCAACTTGAAGCGCACAAGTCTGGCCCATGATCGAATGCTGATATTGCAAGTCTCGCGGTGGGAATTGGCAGGATGTACAAGGTTCTTTATGGCCTCTAATCGAGGTCGGCACCCATCTGGGACCGCGTAATATAACGCGCAAAGCAGATCGTGGTGGTTTCTTAGAGCATCTAGATCTGCCTGGTGGATAGGCTGTTCTTTTGGGTATACTCGGCCGTGATTTGGTAATAGACGCCAAGCGAAATTCCGTACTTTTTTCTTATCATACCTCTTGGACAAGAAGCGCAAGCCACTTGCAATGATCTTTATAAAGATATGGAAGCATGGGTCACTCGGGGTGGTGTCAAGGGATGGGTTGTGGTCAAGCTCATCCAAAAACGAGGGAGACGTGTAGTTCTCTTCCTGTTTCAGATTGTACAAGGTGTTCATCGCAAAGAAATCGTAGAGCGTATCTAAAATTAGTTTGCAATCCCTCCACCCCCAGCCGTTGATAAGATGGAAGCATCTGTGAAATAAAGCTCGGCAGTAAGAGTTATAGGAGATAGATGCTGAAGTATTGGGCTCATAGCTTTCCAAAACAGGGCACAGCAATTGTTTCACTATTTTCCAGTTGTTGCAAGTCTCCCTGAAGCGTGATCCAATCCGGGCGATTCCAAGAGCGTCAATTTCGTCTAACGGTAGCGTAGTAAATAGCCAATGCCACCTCGTTTCTAAGCAACCAATATTCTTTGTATTGCTCTGGTCGCCGATTGCCAACAAAGAGTCGGCAATGAGCTCTTCAAAGCAGCGCTTCAGCTTTTCCGTACTGTACAATATCTGCCGAACAATGACGTAGGCCTCAACGGCTGGATATTCGTCTCGGACCCCTTTATCGCGTTGTTCGCACACCTTGTTATCTTCGAGAAATTTGCGAATATTGATTTCCCCTACTTCGCTCGAGATAGCTGTAAAGGCTTGCTTGGAAACTGACCTCACGAGTTCCAAGAGCTCCTCTGCCACGCTGTGATTAACGAGGTTATGACAAGCTATCTGGTATGTTAAGTTGGCGAATGCCACGTTGTAAGAAGCAATTCTCATACGAGACTCTGTCCCTCGAGCTGTCGGCGAGATCATGGCGGTTAAATGATCATTGACCTTGGAGATAAGCGCATGGGCCCTCGTTATAAAGCCTGTTCTATCGATAGGATCGATGAACGTTAGAGCCTCTGTAACGTACTTGACAAGGGTCCTGTATATAATGCAGGTGCGATCGTGTGCGTTTTCAGGGGCCGCCTCTGTAGACATCGTGTCGCTCTTTTCCATTTCCTCGAGTATGTTCTCAAATGCAATGCCAAGTTCAGAGGAAACAGCGTCGTTCCAAGGTCCCCACCGAAAAGTTCGATTCCCAACATTCGCAGTAAAAATGCCAGCATCTTGGTCGAGATCACGCTTGCCGATCTCAAGCGAGCGACTGAATTCTCCACTTCCGATAAACGAAGATTCGTGGAAAAAGGTTCCCAGGCACAGAGGAGTGATTCCAAAATCCGTAGAGTACGAGCGTTGAAAACCGCTTAGTCCCTTTGAGACTCCTTTGCTGGGATGTGCATCGTCCCCTTGCACCCTCCTAGAGTCTAGATCCATGGACAGGATCGGTGGATCCGTATCTCCAGTGGTGCTAACATCCAATCTAATGGGAGTACGTTTCTTCAACTTCCGCTTGATTTGAACTGGACGCTTTGGGAGCGATATGCTCACATCGTTCGACTCGCGAGTGAGGGTGCTTCCCCGCGCCTTAGCATGAACAGATGCCTGGCTACTGTCGACAAGAAATCGATGCAGTATTATATTTCGGTCCACAGTCTCGGGCAAGCGTTTTTGCCAAGTATTTTGGTTGAGCAGGGAAAGTGACCTTCGAAGGGACGGTGCTCGGGAAACGTCAAGACTGGCCATTTCTAGCCCCACAGGTCTTGGGTCGTTCCTTTTTAGGGAGGAAACAACAACGTTTCTCCGGACAAACCAGTTGTTGCCATGTTGAATACGCTGCATAGGCTTCTCCGAAGTGGGGGGCGCTGTAGTAGGTGGTGGAGCTTCTGGATCTGGCATCTGATTCTGGGCGACTTTAGCATCGTCCGGTTGTGTCGATGAGCCAACATTGATGGCGCGATCTTTGCTTATTTCCCCAGATCCATGATTTCTGTGTCCAATTTTCTTGTTTGAGGAAAGATCCGCCAACGGTGGCCGCCTGGGGGGCTTTGCTTGAGGCCTGGGCAACTTCGACTGCCGAATACGTCCGGCGCGCCATTCGCGCAACGATGTGTTAGCATCTTCGGTGTCCAGAGCTGAACTCATCTTGATGACTTTGTTTGAAGGACTTCGTCTGCTCCTATCCTGTCGAGATCGTGCTTTGCGAGCAGCAACTCTGAGGAACTGTGGCTGCTCGTTTCGAGGGCGAAAAGCAACATCGGGAGCATCCAATATACCAAGCCTTGGAGGGGTGCGTGAGGGATGTTTCTTTCTTTCCCGCCTGTAGATGGGATCGGTAAGCCTCGCTTGTTTTTGAAGGCGAGGCCGTTTAGAATGACTGTCGGAACGAGTAAAATGGCTCTCAGACCTTTGTCGTTTTTGGCCACCCTTTTGGGATCGACGAGCTGAAGTTTCACGCGTTGCTGATGGAAACAAGTCATCGATGCGATTGTCTTCTGGAATGTCCTCGCCCATATCCTCCGCTAGGAATGTGTCATCAAATCCGACCAAGTTGGCCAGTATCTGCCGCGCATTGCTTTGGCCAACATTGCCGTCATCTTCCTCCGCATCACTACCATCAGAATCAGCTAAATGCCTTAATGATGCCAAATGCTCGACTGGATTTGACGAAGTTGAGGGGTCGGTTCTCTTGATGATCTTTTTAGCGACACCCTTGGTGTTTTCTGTTCTGGAATTCTTGTCGCGATGGCGCTGTGTAGAACTTAGTTGTGCATCCTTTTGTCTTTGTTGGTCTAACCGCAGCCATGAAGCCGGAAGTACACCTTTGATCCTACGTTGAAGTTCACGAACGTCCTCTTCAGGCTCCTGCTCTTCTTCTTCATCCTCTCCATCATTTTCCGAGGCGGAATGAGAATGTTGAGAGGCAGCGGACCGGGCATCAGCAAGCTCTCGATCAACGCCAGAGCAGGGCCTGTTGACTGTGGTGGTGGCATCCCGCCCTCCCCGCCTCGGGGCTGTACCAGGCGTGTTTAACGTTGGCGGTGTCAACCCACGAGGGAACCGAAACTCAGTGGGATTCCATAGGGCCTGCGGGGAAGAATTAATTCCAGAGCGTGGCGGACTGGGCGGTATGTCCCAAGCCAAGCTATTGCTTAAATTTATAGATGTGCGGTTGTTTATTACCACTTTAGGCCGAGGCTGATGCCGTGATGAGTTCCCATGATCGTCTGGCCTTGATACTTTACGCCTCTTAGGACCTCTGATTTCGTTCTCAGATAGGTCCTGATAGGACGATTGCGGCTGACCTTCATGAAGGTCTTGAGTTGCCGTTGCCGCAGAGGTAGGATTTTTTTCCGCTGGAGACGACGGGGCAAACTCGAAGTCCGCGGCAGGGCTGCTCGAAGGTGGTAGGGTGCTATCAAAACTTTGACTTTGACCTTCGGCCGCCTTCTGCATTGCTTGCTGGTATTGAGCGATGCGAACTGGTTTAATCCCTCTGGCCTTCATAAGCTTTTGGTATTTCGCATCTTCCAAAAGATACGGGTGTAACTGGATGGGGTTGCGCTGTCGTAAGGACCTTCGTGCCGGCTGAGACATCTCTCGTAATATATCTTCCGGGATTTCGAGAGGAGGGAGTAACGCCTCTAGATTAGTCCCTGACGGTGGATTCTCTGTGTCCTCTTGTTCATCCTGATCACCTTCACCCAATGCCAAAGAGTGGAGAGACGACAGCGGAGAAGACAAAGGAGAAGGGTCGGCATTATCCTTATTCTCCTGTCTCTCACCAATGTCTGGCACTTTCGAAGGAAGACCAACCGACCTCCGAGAAATAAGATGATCTAGCTGTAGTTCGTCTGGTGAAGAGCTAGGTACGTCCCATATGTCTTTAGGTTGCTCTCTTAACGGGGTCGACGGCGGGCTTGGTCTTGGTCTTGGAGTAGCTGATAGAGTCGGGGATGGATGCGACTTCCTCCTAGGCGTAGCATCCTCGTCATTGACGTCTTCCGATTGCGGTCCTTCAGCGATAATCCTAGCTTCCTTGTCGGGCACCTCCTTGGCCGAATACTTTGCCTCCTCGTTTGCCTGGATAGACACATCATGGACATTTTGACCGGCTGTGACACATCGGAAATCATCAACAATGCCGCCTTGGGGGCTATGGTGCTCCTCTTCCTCGGTATCTTCGTCCGGTGGTCCCTGGGGAGTCGTATTGAGCGCATAAGGCGCCGGGGATGCCCCAAGCTCATCGTCACTACTATCAAGATCCTGATTCACCTTTTCCGGGCTGCCCAACCCATCATCCTCGTCTGAGTCCGGTACAAACCCTCGTTCCCGCCATGATTCCATGGCCCATCTCACTAATACTCCATTACTTCGTAGGCGTAGGCTGTGAACAAGGGATCTCCGCAGCCCCAAATACTAATTGGAGATAGATATCACCACTGATATAAATAAGTTTGAAGGAATTAATTACCAATCAGGTGGTGGCCAATTCAAAATTGCTTGAAAGTGGATGTCGGGAAGACGCGTTGAAAATGTGGGGAGACGCGACGGAAATTATTCATGGCGGAACTTTGGCGATTGATGCGGCAAATCTGTTAATGACTTCCGACTCTGAACATCCTTCTTGGCCTCACTGGTCTCCCGAGAAACGGCCTAACACAAAGTAAAGGAATAGCGCTTATCATTTCTGATTCTACATTTTTCTTCTGATACTACTATGAGTCGAAATTGGATTCCGGCGCTTGTAGCCATCGGAGTGGGAGTCTTCTCAGGTTGGTACTTTCCAGAATGTAGGAACCCAGGACTGTTCACTAACGTCCACTCCTACACTTAGGCCATTATACCTTCCAACCTTTACTGAAGGATTTGCAGATGGAGAAGGCAGGTTCCCAGCGGTACGTCGCTTTACCTACGATGAGGATTTCCCGTCCTTCATCCTGTCCATAAACTGATACGACGCCCTTGGATATATTCAGACTTCAACTTGGGGAGCAAACCGTAGCGCCTAATGGCGCTCAGTCCCCTACTGCGAACATCAAAGAAGGCTCGAACGCTCCAGTGACGAAAAATACAGAAACAACGCAGGGCGGAAATCCAAAGTAGATATCAATGGAGACATACTCAGCTTAGTGGCGCTTGCCCGGTGTGATGCCGCGATGCACTCTAGGCACATAAGTGACCTGCTAGAGCTCGCGCTATCATACCCAATTCTCAAATTTTTGAATGGTAGCCCATGGAACATATAGAGTGAGTGGAAAGAGGTCCGCGTCAAACAACATCTACTACCCTTTTCTGGCAGTAAGTCGGCCACTGGCTCTTGAACTCTCATGGTTGACCATCTAGTTTATGGTGGCTCAGTTTGCCAACTAGCAAGCATCCAAAGTAAATCCCTCTGCAAGCCTGTAATTACACACATTTTATAACCACTATTCGGTCCTTAATAAGTGTTACTTGGGATATTTCTGGAAGTGTCAACCTTTCAACGATTATAACTAAAAGCAGGCCCTATTTCCTATATAAAACTCCCCCCTGAACCGGGTATGCCAATCAGTAGATACACAGTAAGACAATCAACGGGCAAACCAGGCTTCTTCAATATACAGCCCATACCGTTTAACAAGACATTCTAAATAGACCCACGGTTTTGAAACTCGGATTTTCCAGATACGCCAGCTCCGTTTGCACCTGACTTCCAAACTGATCAGTCATACCTCTTCCACCAGCTTTCTAGGCCCACTGCTTTCCAGGGATGGTTCCCCAAAGACTCGTCCGGCTGGAGCACCAAGCCATTCCTCTGATACAATCATCCTGCTTCCCTTGCGCCCACTAATCCATCTGACCATAGCTGGATCCAGTCTCTCGAATTCCTGTGTCTGCTGCTCTGCAGAGGCCGTTTCAGCCGCTTCAGCAGCCGGAATGCGACCACGCCTCTTCGGGGCTTGCTTCCGTAGAAGCCTATTGATTGTATCCATCTATCCTATGGCGTCAGTTTCCACTGTTTAACAAGTATAGAGAGATTTTTGCCTCGATAGTCATCGAATGGAGAAAACAAGACTTTATAGTACTCACTTTTTCTTCTTCATTGCGCTTTTCGCTAAGGTTCTTTCTTCGGCGAGCCATTTCAGCACGGCGCATGGCGCGCTCCTCTGCGGTCAAATGCTTCTTGACTTGTGGTTCTGCGCTGCATTAGACGATATCTCCAAAGCAAACTCGCAAGACTTGCACAAGGACTTACCCATCGGGAGTTGCAAGAAATCGTTGCCCAAGTTGCCCCTTTGGCGTTTTGTCATCCTGGCGGGATCGGCAGTAGGAGTATCATCATCACTATCGAGATCTTCCTCGTCCTCTTCATCCTCATCTAGGTCCTCCTCGGCTCCATTGGCGTTTCCAAGTCCATTCTCATCCTGATCGTCAGGCTCACCTTCGGCATCCGATTCGGGATCAGAGAGCTCCTCATCATCTTCGTCGTCCTCGGCATCTAGTTCCATCTCTTTTGCCTCGACACTTTTCACTGCTTTAGAAGTGGACGCGGCAGATTTGGCGTGTCTTTTTGACACTGGGGGTTGCGGAGGAGCGTCATCCATGTCTAAATCTCCATCCGCATCTGCATCCTCGTCTTCCTCACCGGGAGCATCTTCATCGTCCACTTCATCTTCTTCCTGGTCGTCCAGGTCTTCGTCGCTCGTGTTAACTTCGACGAGCTTCTTCTTAGGCCGGCTAGTCCGTGGCCCTGTAACTATAGGGTTTTCTGTGAAAACGTTGACAGAGCGTCTTGAGGCACCATTTCGTGTGTTACTACTAGTAACCTCGCGCAGCTTACTTGAAGGCATCTTGACAGTTAAACGAATAGATCTCCTTGACTCCTCCGGAGAGTCTGAGGGAGACCGGAAGACAGTCACTGATGAAGATGCGACAGCGCGGGTAACTCTGGTCGGGGTTCTGGGACTTGCGTTAGAATCCAAGTCTGGTGGATCATCCCGCACAGAGCGGGAGCGAAGTGAGCGACGCAGAGACATAATCAATCAACAGAATTGACTTGATATGGGGTATGGATGGAAAAATGACAGTGCAAAGGGTATAAAGGTAACAAGTTGAACTTCTCAAGAATCGACAAACGAACTGATTTTGTAAAAACGAAAACAGAAAGAATCAGGGAAAACACAAAATGAGGCGGGGGTTTAGTCTCGTATGGATAGACAAGAGTAGTCAGAGGATAGTCAACAATAAGACTATCTGAGATGGTGGTGTCATCTGACGGTGAAGCAAAATCGGTCGTGGTAGAGATACAGAGGGGAAAAGAGGGGAATGATTGATGGACAAGGAAACAGCCATGCGGTAGTTATGACCGACTGACTACGTGGGCCAGTACAGAGAAGTGGTGGTGATGCAGTTCGGGAAGGCACAGGCCATCAATCCCTATCACATCTTTTGACGCCACTTGAAACTTCCCATCCGACATGAAGGACAGAACCAATGGGAACATTCTGGACTAAGATCTCAAGCGGATACACCAGTCAAGAGCGGGAGCGCGGTGAACGCAGTGTTGGTGCGTTTTTTCTCCTGCAACCCCGACAGGATATTACTGTTCGTCCTGTGCGCTGCGCTGACAGGGATCCCTGACCGAACCAGGGGGGGTGGATACAACCTTAATATAATCGGAGAAAAGTGAAGGGAACGAGGCGAAACGAAAAATAAAAAAAAAGAATAAAAAAAGGGGGACAGTAATAGACTAAATTCACGGGTAAATGTGCCCTGAGTACATGGATGTATGTATAACGAAAGGGAATAAAGGGAAAACTCACAAAGGACGTCAGATTGGTGAGATACGTACCACCCAATCGTGCCGGATTTGACGCTGTTATATATATTCCAATCGATTCTGGAGGATCAATGTATATATTCCCCAGTTGAACCAACGGCTGGCACAGTCCCTGATGATCTTCTTGGTCTATTCTTGTCGCAAATGAACGATGGGGAGACAATCGGAACCCGTCATGTTCATCGTTGATTCTGCCGCCAGGCGGTATCTCTATCCCTGACCGCCTACCCTGGACGGGTTGGCCATGTGGACCAGCATTACCACGCATGACAATACCGAGATTAAACCTTCTCCAGATGACAACCGAGGTCGCAAGAGGTCAAAGCATTAGTACTTAGTACTAGTAGTTCTTCCCTCACATGGTCGTCGAACCGCCTATCTTTTCCTACCTCCCTCACCTCTTTCTCTTGCAATTGATGCATTTCGTGATACAGTACCTTCATTGTAATTAGGTCATTCTTCACCACTTTTAACACGCCATGGCTGATTCTAAACCCAAAACCCCTTCAATCCCTCAATGGCAACAGCCCTCCGCCACCAACTCCGCCTCCGCATCTCCGCCGAGCTCCGATGATGCTTCACGATCGCAACTTCTACAGCAAGCGACCAAGTTTTTAGAAGATGAGTCCTTGCGCGACGCACCACTAGATCGCAAGGTATCATTCTTGGAATCGAAGGGTCTCCGACAAGATGAAATTGACAGTCTGCTGGGTGTGTCGCGAAACTCCGAGGCAGCCAGTAGTACGGCTGCAACCGAGGCCGATAACAAGACCAGTGAGCCTAGCATCATGAAGGACACACCAGGTGACTCAGCCTCTTCATCGCCTTCCACTTCGACATCTCAATCATCCTCTTCTCCTGCTACCACCATAAACAATCGGCAATCCTCGTCCGCTCGTGACGTCCCACCGATTATTACCTACCCGGAATTCCTCGTCAATCAACCTAAACCCCCTCCGCTAGTGTCCCTTCGTAGCCTCCTCTACACTGTCTATGGCGCTGCAGGTCTAGGAGCTAGTATTTATGGCGCAAGCGAGTACCTCGTGAAGCCCATGCTCGCCAACCTGACAAGTGCACGACACGAACTGGCCGAAACAGCCCAGGATAACCTCAAGAAATTGAACGAAAAGCTAGAGCAGAATGTATCCACCATTCCCCCTCAGCTCACGGCGCGTCGTGCTCAATCTACTGGCTCAAGCTCTGATGATGAGACCGAGTCTGTCACATCCGACCCAGCGGAGCTATTCCACCGCGATGTCGCTGTCCAGACCACGGAAGATTTCAACCTGGAGAAGTCATCCTCATCAGCCGCGAATACAGCAGACACAGAATCTTTTGACCCCAGTGCAACTGTGAATACACATGTAAAGCGACTTGAAGTCATCAGGTCGCATCTCCAAGAATTCTCCGAGACCAACAAGCAGTCGAGTACGTGCGATGATACTGTTCGCAGCAGCCTTAACGAGCTACATCATTACTTAGATGGACTACTATACAGTAAATCTAGCTATGGCGCGGGAACCGGCTACGGGGTCTATAGTACTCCCGGCTTTGACACCAGCGGAAACACGACTGGCTTGAATAAAGGCGAGGAAGACGCCATATCCAACTTCAAGTCTGAGATTAGAGGTGTCAAGGGTGCTTTATTGAGTGCCCGGAACTTCCCTGCTAGCCGGGGACCGAGAATTAGCAGTGGTATCGGCAGATGAAGAGACGGTGGTCTTTATGCTGATTCTTTGGTTCGAGGAGACGAATCAATATCATGTGAACATATATGTTACTTTTTCTTTTTCTTTCTTTGGCTTGGTTACGGAAGAATGTATTGGTTTCCAGCAATAACCAGCATGGCGTTAGGAATGATCTGGTTTATAATGGTATCGAAGATATCTGCTATACTTCGATTGCTATGTATGCCTTGGCGATGGTTTATATTTTACATTATGTTACACCTAAAGAGATAACTAGATATATCTGTAGTGTATACGTATAACTACAAATCACATCCTACAAAGCCATGTCGAGTAATCGATAACTATACCGGACCTTTCTTATCAGGTATAAGAACGATACTATGTCATTGCAGCATGCAAAGCACAGATCCTGAAACACAGATAAGTTCGATGAACCATCCAGAGCAACAAAGACGGGGAGAAATAAGTATCTGTCCCGATTTTCAACCTATCACAACGGCAGCAGATTCATTTCAGCGTAACACTACCATAACATTCATTCGAGTTCTATTCCTTTTTCCTAGAAAGAATCTAATAACAAAGGCTTTTAAACCGATCATACTAAACGTAATATAAAATAAACTGGCATGGTGTACTCAAAGGTCTCCATACCGAAGGTTCTCAATTGCCCGGATGGTGTTACGAATACTTATAATTCGAGATTGAGCCACTTTTTATAACTGTCCTTATCCCTCAAAGGAGCTGGGGGCTGTTTACCCTGCAAGGTAATAATTCACCTTGAAAGGACCGGAATGGTTTCATGTTGAGTTCTCTGTAGGTTCCCAAGGGTTCAAGCCGCGTATATAAAACCGGTTTTAAGTCTCATTGTTTCTACAAATGGTCGCCTGCGACGATCTAAATCATGAGGTCTTCCGTCAAAGAAGCTATGTGTTTTTGTTCTTCATATAAATATATATAAGGCCTCATGATCACTCAAACAAATAGGCTTGGTGTGCTACCGAACTATTAGACACACAGCCTGAATTGTTCCACGTTCTCAGTATTATTTCATTCTTATGCATTGCTACTGACACACTCTAGCTTCTGAAGAGGGCTTGGGGGCTTATCCACTCTTCACAGCTGGTATGCGAGTGGTTTAGACGCTGTAAAAACTGGATCTAACGTCGAAAATGCGGATCTGGTTTGAAATCTACTGCTGATATTTCGTAAACAATGAACATAGTAATAACATTTAGACAAGAAGAACAATTTCTAGACCAATACATGAGAACGTCACACTACTGGCCTTGAAAGATCACCAACCACTACACGAAGCACCGACCCTTCTTCTCCTACGCACAACTCATAAAACTTTCTTCATGCACTCTTTCACTGTTTACAAGCTGTGGCCCTTTATGGGGTAGCCTTGCTCATGCTGATGAGACGTTTCACACCAACCTATTCATTTGATTAGAACGACTCGAGCAAATGACACGACAATTTATTTGATAACTTACCATCCACTGACCGCATTCATCAGTCCTGTTTGTCAGGATATCCACGTGGATAGCACGTGCTGCCTCGTAATCACGCGCCTGAATGGCACGTGCCAAGTCTGCCATGTCAGAAACGGTGTTCGGCTTGAGCAGATCTCCATTGTTCAGGTGGTCGAACAGAAGGTTCAACCGCCGATCAGCATCTTCAACTTGTTGCTTGAACGATGTAGGCGCACGGCCTTTGATGCGCTGCATATCCGCCGAAAGGATCTCATAGATAGGCATTGCGTCTTCAGGGATATGGGAGCGATCACCAGGTGCTAGACAAGTTAGATGGGTGAAGTAAGGCAATTCGGAGAGTAACTTACGATACTTGGGAGTCGTAGGAGCTGGAGTCACTTTCTGTTGTGAAGAAGCTGTCCCGGGCCTAGAGACTGTGGCTGGAGGCGGTCCCTGCTGCATTGGTGGAGGGGGATGCGATGGTGGTGTGCTGGGAGCATACTGGCTCGCCGCCGGAGGCTGGGGGGCATATGGTGAGGCACCTGCCTGCGGAGGTGGGGGAACCGGGCCCCGCGCCTGGAGCTGTGGGTTTGCCGCTTGAGCTGCTGGGCTCGGAGCGTACCGGTTAGTTGGGGGAGGCATAGACGGCGGAGCGTTGTAAGGAGACGGGCCACGTGGGATTGGCGCCGGTACCCCCATGTTGCCGGGGGTTAGCTGAGGAGGAGATTGTGGCAAGGATGCATAAGGGTTTGAAGGCGGGGTAGGTCCTGGGGGGATAGTAGATGGTGGAGAAGTCACCCGGGGAGGTGGAGCAGTGCCCTTTGGTGGAGGGGGAACTGAGGGTGTCCGCTGAGTAGGTGGAGCCCCGGGTGGAGGAGGCCCTTGAGAGATTGACGGGGACTGATTCGGGAATGGCGAGGTGATAGGTGCAGAAGCTCCGGCGGGAGTTCCTCTCCGGGGTGTCGGAGCCTTCGCGAAGCCTTCGGGAAGATCGTTCCAAGCAGGGAGGTTGGTAGCTGTAGTGTACGTGGTAACAGTTGCGGGGGATTGATTCGACGCGCGTGGTGGAGGAGGCACCGAGCCACCTAGGGGTTTAGCACCATAAGACGGTGCTGGCGTGGGCTGGTATCCTGTGGGAGCATAGCCGCCTCCAGAACCCGGCGCATATGGGTTCGTTGGCTGTGGCGGGGCAGCAGCACCAGGCGGGGCGTAAGGGTTCGAAGCAGGCGCTGGAGGTGCGTACGCATTGGAAGCAGCAGCCGGGGGGGCGTACGGGTTGGTAGCAGGCGCTGGAGGTGCGTACGGATTGGAAGCAGCAACCGAGGGAGCGTACGGGGTTGGAGCTGCGGCTGGCGCAACAGGAGAGAATGTTCGTTGAGGCTGGTAAGCGTTGGTAGTTGGGAGAGGCTTGTTCAGTGGCGTTCCACGACCAGTAGTCGTTTGCTGCGTCTTCTGAGTAGTCGGCTGCCTCGTCGCCAGCTTGATACGATTTCTTGCAACCTCGGCCTCGGGGTGTTTCTCCGGAACAAGGTCCAAATACTTCTGGGCCACTTGTAGTCTTCCATGAGTAGCAACCACATCAGCATACTCAATATACTTGTCGTACAAGCTGCTGAGCTTCCAGTCAGACTCCTTGGTACGCTCCGTATCCTGGAACTTGGTGACCTGGCGGAAGATTGTCACCTTCTCGATCAGCCCCTGCAAAGCACGAACATGGATCGAGAAAGAGGTGTCATTTGCGGCTGTTTCAAGGGCCTTCTGCTCATTCTCGCGAAGCTCCTCGACCCAAATCGCAACAACCTTCTCCAGCTTAGAGCCAGCCAAGAAGCAGAACGAAGCATCTTTGCGAAGGCTCTTGTCGTCCGAGGCCCGAATTTGTTCCTCTAGCCTGTCACCGAGAGCGTCACAAAGATCAGCAAATTCCTTTTCTTCGGCAAAGGTGCACAGCGCTGCCATGACTTCCTTCCAGTTAGACAGGTCTGCGTTGTACACAACATCCCAGAGATTCTTGCCAACAATGGATGCTAGCAGACGAACATAGTTGGGACTCTCTGTCTGCTTGGAGAAATAGTGCTCCTGCGCCTTTGCGATGCACTTCTGACCTCCGCAGATAGCAATCATAAAAGCATCGGACAAGCGATCTTCTTTGAGAGCGACATCCAGTGCCTTTTCAAAGTCGCCAAGGAGCAATGCTCTCGTGATTCCCTTGTCTGCTTCCGCCTCGGAGCCATTAAAGATGTGGAATGGGTTGTTAGTCTTGGCTCCCTTCGACGCAGCCAGGTCCGACAAGAAGTTGTCTGCTTCAGGGCTCGCATCAAACATTGATTGCAGGCGTTTGTGCTTCTTCGCGCCCGGCCCGCGGGTTTCTTTAGGCGACTCTCCGTTAGTTTCCTCCTTACCCAAGCCAAGGTTAGCCAGCTTCTCAGCAGCCTCATCAGCAGATTGGTCCTGGAACCCAAGATATTCGGCAAGTCCCTTACGGGGATTCTCAGAGATCAAAGCCTCGATGACCTTCCAGTCAGCTTTCTCTTCCTCGGTGGTAGCGTTTGCGGCTCTGGTTTCGCAAATGCTTCGAAGATCGCCCTCCTTGAGAGCATTCTCAAAGGTCTCAGTAGACTGACCAACAGCCTCATCTACTTCAAACGGGGTAATCTTGATCTTGGAGGCACGTTGGCCCTTCTCCACCAAGTTGACAGAAACCACCCTGCCTCCAAAACCAAAAGTGGCACCACAGGGTCTCTCAAGCCACTTAGGGGCCTTGGGCAACGAGAAGCTTGAGACCTGCGGCTGGGTCTGTGCCTTTGCAAAGAAATCCTCCCCATCAAGTGCTTGGTTCTGGTCTGCGATGGCTTGAGCACTTTCAGTGCTGGTGTTCTGAATAGTCTGGACCGCGATCTTGCCGTCGAACGAAGCTGTGGCGAAGAAGTTAGGGTTGTGAGGGTTCCAACGAGTCTGGAAGGTCCAGTTTGTGACGACAGGGAATTCGCCATAGGCGTGACCAGTTTGTGGGTTCCAGCAGAGCGTGCGATTGTCCTTTCCAGAAGAGAGAAGCAGATCGGGATCGTGGCTACACCATGAAAGCGATAAGACGCCAGATTCGTGTCCTTTGAGGACCTATGGAACGTCAGTGATATCTGTGTCCCTATGTGCTAACGCCAAGATGCCCAAGCTTACCCTTTCTGGAGCATGGGAATTGCGGAGATCCCAAACATAGATCATGGGGTCCGACTCCAATGGCGTCGCCGTAACGAGCTTCGTAGGCTATATCGTGTAAGCAGCCACATTAGTTTTCAGGATGATTGGACATAAGCATCTTACCTTCTCAGGATCCCAAGCAACGGCGCTCACAGCTTTACGGCCCATATTGTTGAGAGTCAAACTCTCCTTCTTCGTCTTGACATCCCAAACAGTGACAAATCCTGCGCTGCTACCGGTAACTAAGATATGTGCAACCTTCTTATTCCAATCCAAACACTCAATATCGTCAGCACGGGCAGCGGTACCGAGTCGGTATGGGTTTGCGACATTGTTCAGATCGGAGATGTAGAGCTATTTCAAGCCATCAGCAATGTATTCCTGCAGGTTCTTAATCCTGAATTGGTCAAGTACCTCTCCTTTTGCGCCACCGGTGGCCAACAAATTAGAATGTCTAGGGTTGAACTGGAGGGCCTTGATGGCGCCTGAGTGTTTGGAGGTCCTCGAGATCACGGCGTCGTCACTTTCCGGTAATCAGCCAATGGAACAATGTATGAATGACGCTTTCCTTGGGAACACACCTCGATCCATTGATCAGCTTATCAGCGTCCCACAAGTCCAGCGACCCGTTTTCCAAAGCACCAGCTATTACTCCCCGTGTGTTGTCCTCGGATGGGGTCCACGCTAAGTCATTGAAACTATATAAGCAGCCGTTAGTATATCACACTTGCTTCATGAATCGAAAACGAGGTGATACTTACCCGGAGTCGGTATCAAACTTCGCAATGGGCTGCAACTCTTCGCCGGTGCTCTGGCGGTCCAGGCCCAGGTCCCACAGCTCGAGACATGTTTCATTGGAGAAGTCAATGTCGACTGCGCCGGCCCGAGTACCGGTAGCAATTAATGGCGATGCTGCACCGGGAGACCAGGCAAATGTGGCCGTCCGGGGAATCTCCCTCAGACGAACCATGTTGAAAGGAAAGGAGCGGAAGGAACGAGAGGTACTATAGATTAGGAGATAACCAGACTAAGGAACGGTCTGGCAGCAACTATCATAAAACGGGGGAATCGACAAATTATTAGAACTAAAAGACGAAAGAGATATTTCCAAACGTAACCTCCCCTCCCTAACGAGACCAGAGGGGTGTATGAAAGTTGCCAAGTAGCAGCGGGATGCGATCGAGACGTCAACTGCACAGTTCCCAATCAACCAAGTGTCCTCCTGGAGGCACCGGGGCGATTGGCGCCTAACCTGTTCGGGCTCTCGCCAAAACACCCGCGGAGGCACGTGATATCAGGTTGCTTGGTCCAGAAAGTCTGGGCAAGGTATCATCCGTGGAGAGCTTCGAAAGAGCGTGATATTTGTGACCGGGGCAGAGCCCTCTTACCATTAGCTACAACTCTATGGTGCGATAAGACTACATAGTTTCCGACCAGACACACCATGAGCGAAGCGGCGCGCTTGAAATGTACCGTCTATGTTGGGGGTCTCGACCAGGCGGTTACTGTGCAGACGCTGGCCGAGGCATTCGTTCCCTTCGGCGAAGTTGTTGATATCACGCTCCCGAAGCCTGACGTTCCCAATTCGAATGAGCTCCATCGCGGGTTTGGCTATGTGGAATTTGATGTACCTGAAGATGCAAAAGAAGCGATCGACAACATGGATGGAAGCGAGCTCTATGGGCGTACGATCAAGGTTGCTGCTGCAAAGCCACAGAAGGACAGCAATGAAGGCCTAGGAAGCAAGACGGCGATCTGGGAACAGGTGCGCAAGGTGATTCAACTTCGTTACGGGCAGATTTCTAACTACGCATGTGCAGGAGGGCTACTTGGCCAAATACGCAGTCGACGAAGAGGATAAGTTGGCGGCAGAGCAGGCTCAAGCAGCAGCCAACGATCATTCTCACGACCCCATGCAAGGATTGGAAGAGCTGGACGTCGCTGGTCCGAAGCCCGAATAAGCTCTAGAGACTCTGAGGCCATGAAACAGGAAGCCGTGCGACAGTAATATTGCAATATTACTCCATCAGAACCCTCCGTTCAAGCCGTACTATATACACGCGCTCCAACCGAGTTTTTTTTTTTTTTAAGAAAAAGTTTCAATTTCTCCAGCGACATCAAATTTCCCGTGAATAATACAGACCGCCGACAAAAATCACACCAAGGATCGCCATTGCAATTGAAATATGGTAATACACTTTAGTGCTCACGGCTCTCAGGGCTGTTGCGGCTAAGACGAAGAGTCTTGTCGGTCATGAGCTTCCTGCCGCTGGAGTAGATAGCAGCTCCAACAGCGACGCTAGAAGAAATTGCGTCAGCATGAGCGCAGGTTTAGTCTGGGGAGGTAGTAGCTGGGGGGATTGATCGTGTAATATAGAGTTCAAAGAATCTCGAAACAGTCAACATACCCAAGGACGATACCTAATGGCAGAACGGTTAGACAAATAGTGGTTCCATGGGGAATGCCTTAGATCCATGACATACCGAGAGGAATCAACTCCGGGGGGACCCTCTTGAGGGTGCGCAGACGCTGGGAGATAGTGTGAGCTGTAGCTTTCAGTTAGTCCAATTCCATCCCTAAGCAACTCCTCCTGCAATCAAAAATCAATTGCAGGTCGTTAGGATTCCCATACCGCTGTTGGGCTCCTTCTATAGCGATCGTTAGCACACAGGACTCGAGGCCGTTTTTTCCCGGAACGAAGAACACCAAATGGGACTTACAGGAGTAGGGAAAGCAAAAGGCCGAGAGGCCTGCATCCGCAAGACACGAGTGGGGAACATGGTGAGGGTGCACGCTGAGGTGGGAGCAGAGATGGTGGAGGGATGAAGATCAGATGTGGTGACGGAAGCTCACGACGTTTGAAGGGGAGGTTTGAGTAGTACTGCCTTAGGCTGGATTCGGGTGTTTAGGAAATCTTGCCGCATGAGTGGCTCGCTAGACCGCCCGCGGTCACTCCCGGATTCACTGCTTCACGGGATCATTCCACCACTCCACTGGCGCAAACCTCACCCCATCTTCCTTCTCCAACTCCCCTCTCACCCACGCCCAACCCACCCCATATATCCCTTTTAAACTCATCTAGAGACCTTTCTGTCTCCTCACAGTCAAAATGGGTGCTATTCCTGAGGCCGATCCCGATGAGCCCATGGAGACCAAGCCCTTCAAGTTCGTCACAGGTGAGCTTAATCGCAGCCAATCTCGAGGTTTAGAGCCTCAAATCGGAGTCAATTGCTAACTTGAGTGCAGCTGGTACGTGATAATTAGGTCTATTACCGATTGGGTCGCTCGCAATGCCACCGCAGTCGAGGTTTTCATATCGGGTGGAGTCCATACGTGGTGCTGACAACTTCTGATGTAACAGGCTATGATGCTCGCTTCCCCCAGATGAACCAGTATGTAAACCTTAATGATCTACGCCCCAATTCCTCTAAGGCAATTGCTAATTCCCCTCTTCACTCCAGGACCAAGCACTGCTGGCAAAACTACGTCGACTACTACAAGTGTGTCACCGCCAAAGGCGAGGATTTCCGTCCATGCCGTCAGGTATGTCACTTTTCTCCGTATCCCCGACCTGGAATCAAAAGAAATCCAAACCTGCATGTAAAGATAGACGGGCTTACCATTGATCCAGTTCTACCACGCTTTCCGCTCCCTGTGCCCCAAGGCCTGGACTGACCGCTGGGACACCCAACGCGGTATGTAAATTTCTTTCCCAAATGGTTAAAGCTGCCCCATCAGCGACTAATCTCACTTCGACAGAGGCTGGCAACTTCCCCGTTCGCCTGGACCACTAGACGAGTAACAAGTCATTGTTGATTGATTTTTCAAGCATTTTTTGTGTCAACATGTACTCTACCTGATCAAAGCGGGAATACAAATTCGTCCCTTGGGTTGGCTCGGGAGAAATATATATATATATTCGCCGTAGTTGAAGATCCATTGTGTTCCTATTCTGGTCTATCTATTATTCTTCGCATATGTAGAAAGGCTTCACTATCCGCCTTATGGTGCCTGCAATTAGCGCCTCTCGTTTCAACCAATATTAGTAGAGATATCGGTAAGCGGAATATGCAAGAACGACTGAGTTAATAGTCCCAACTGTCAACCCAGTAGAGTTTAGTCTTCTATCTGATATCCAAATGAACAAACCATTCTATCTATTCCAACTCATAATATAGCCAGTATATGGCCAACCAAAACCAGTGCTGCAACCGCGAAGTCAATTCCGGCACTGAGACAGTCTATGGTAGATAAACAATTGCTGAAGCAAGGTCCGATACCCGGTATATTTCAACCAGGTTCTCCCAATGCAAGGGTATCTCGGTGCAGCCAACGGACAGCACTCGCAGAAATCGAGGAGCCAAAAGGAACAGCCAAATCACACAGGGGCGTGAGGGAAAAAAAAAAAGAAAAAGAAAGAAAGAAAGAAAGAAAGAAGAGGTATGTACACCACATAAAACTAACTTTTTTACCCACCCAATGCTTTCGCCAAAGAAACATCATATACAAAGATAATCGAGAAGGAAAAACTGATTTACCGCAAGACCGAGCAAATCAGAAACATGTGAAAAGTGATCGAGGAAGGAAAAGGTCGATCTATGCTGTATGCTTCTCTTCCGAGACGCCCTTCAGCAGACGATAGAGTTTCTTGTGCTCTTCCAGGAAGATGAATGTAGCGATGGTATGGGGGCCCAGGCGGATGAAACTGGGAACCCAGCCGCGGAAGGCCCAGGCGAAGCCTTCCTTGCGGGTGATATCTCGTAAGAGACCCACGATGCTGTGGCCGCGGCTCTCAGCTGGGGAAGCGCTCATCACACGGGTCTTGATCACGTCCACGGGGCTGCAAACGGTTGTCGCAACGAAACCGGCCAAGAAGGACGCGGTGAAATGAGTGCCCAGGTTATCGGACATGCCGAACCTGTCGATGCAAAGACGCTTGAAGGTGTCGTAGGAAGCCAATTGAGAGGCGGTCATCAATACGGCACGTGTCGAATTGGGCCAAACGCCACGGAACAGACTTGCGGGTCCTTCATGGCGGGTCATCTGGACCAGTCCGTGGAAGGCATGTCTGTAGTTACGGCGTTGCTCTACGGGGAGAGCTGCGTCGGACTGCATGCGCACATTCATAACGTCGGCCGGATTTCCTGCGATACCACCAAGGAAACCGGATGTACAGGCCATCCCGACCAGGGCGAGAGTGCTGGCGGGTGCATCGGGCGATGTGAAGCGCGATTTCAACTCTTCATATATACCGAAGCGAGTGGTGGAATACGTTATCTGTCGCAAGAGCGCGGCCGAAAGCTACATGGTTGTTACACTGTGAGCAAGAGGGCTCTCTCTCTCTCTCTCTCTTTCTTCAGTTTCCCCTAGGACCCACACGGATTAAACGTACCCCTCTGTATAAACCCAAAATTCCGTCAGACTTAATCACATGGCCGAAAGTGCCCAACATAGTGGTGGGCGCTCCAGGCCCACGTGTTTGCAAGCGAACCTATTTTTTCCACACGCCATCGATTAGCGTCACGGTGACGCGAGAGAAAAAGGGACATGGGCAAAACGCATAGCACAGCCGATAAGGTCTAGGGATAATTTACCTTCACTATTGAATTAATGTTAATTAGGTCAGGTTCCACAGAAAATAATTCAGAAAAGAAAATGGCCATATATTGAGAACTTACCAAGATCCAAAGGGTGCGTGACGGCCGCCGCAAAACATGATGCAGAGCCACCAAACCAGAAAGGATAATGCACTTTTTTCACGGGAACAGCAGCCCGGGTAGGCTGCGACACCTCCAGCTTTGCGCTGCTTGCCATCCTGTAGGGCGAGATGCGAACAATCCAGCGAGGGGAAGGGAGCGGAGAGTGTAAGCGATTTCAAAGGTAGGAAACTAGTAGTTTGTCCAAGTACCTAAATGTCTTAGACTAGTTTCGTACCTCACGGGAATTTCAAAAATGCGTCGGAGACTTGATCTATCTCCGAGCCCGCAGCGGTCTTCGGCAGCATAACCGGTGCTGGGGGCACTCAGCCAATCATGTACTCGGTTTTGGTCGGGCAAACGGTAACCCTCGGTAATACAGTGGAAGGAGACAGGGATATCCGCGGGCTCATTCTTCGCGAAGAAGGCGTCTTGGAACGTTTGTTGACGGCAACGTGGTCGGCCCTTGAATTACTGCCGATGAGCTTCATTCCAAGGCTTTATGTAGGATGACATCACTTCTACTGTATTAGTTGACAACAGTGTATAGTGTCTGCTGTAGTAGGGCGATTGCAAGGATGTACTACTTTAGATCACATTGCCAGCCAGAAGCAGGTTAGTAAGGCCATGTGGTGTTCTGGAGAACATGTGGAGTCAAAGAAGCATCTCGAATACTTCGAATAAATCTAAATTGAGCTCTGTTTTGGCGACAAAGCCTCACCATCAGCATCAAAACCTGTCCGGCAACATAGATACTAGTAGTAGTTCATGCTGAGAGTACATACTTCACGGCCTTTGTGCTTCAAGTTTACCAGAAATGCGTTCAACTACCGCCTCCTCTTCCAATGTCCTAAAAGAGCATAGTATTGGTAAGTTTCATCTTCTCAATTACCTCACCCAAGCCAGGGATCTCCATTTGATCACATGAATATGTATCGAAGTATAAGATACTCCGTACATATAGACATATTATTTGCTAGTAGATATAGCTTTGGGAAGAGGGCATTTGGGAGAGCTAATCTCCTTCCCTGTCTCTTTTGGCTTGTGAACATAACGTAGGCTAGATAGTCATAATCAAAACATGTCAATCGGAACAAGTTCGGAGAAGACTAAGGCTACGTGTAAGCACAGCTGTAGAAAAGGTACCGGACAATTTCTAGCCTCAAGCTCCATGGCTGCGATTTGAACCATTTCATTCATTTTGAGTTTCTATATTGTAATTTAGTATGACATGTCCATATAAGCCCTTGGAATACAAAGCCAATATAACATTGACCAACTCGACGAAAAGCTGCCATCGACTCGTATAAGCAAGGTAAAATCCCATTCGCGCCGCTGTTCCCTAACCTAAAACTCCGTCCAGATGCTTTGAAATAGCAATTATTGAATATGAAGGCGTGCTTTTCCTTTTAATTCCTGTTTTCCCAGTTTCACTTCTGTGCCCCTACCATCGATGGCTTGGGTACACGTGAACATCCTAATGGAAAGAGAAATCAATTAAAAACTATACCCACCACCGCCATATGGAGTTGCACCGTACGGGGTTGCTGCGCTTGCTCCCCAAGCACTTGCACCGCCGTTAGCATAAGCAGTGAAGCCTCCATCAATACCCTCTGGAGGCTCATATGCATCTGGACTGCGTACACCCATCATATCTTCATCCTCACCACCCATAACATCATTGCGGTCGCCGTCACCAGTGCCAGACAGTGCCGAAATAACTGACGCAAGCTTGCGTTGTAAGACGGTGATTCCTTGTTGAATGATCATATCTGGTTCAAGGACGCCGACGCTCTCGACATCGATATAAAAGTTGTTGGGTTGCGCATCGTAATCGAAGGGTTGGTCCGGGGGAGCGGCGTGTTCCCATGCAGCATTGTGAGAGACGGGCCTACTTCTGTCAGTACTGGGAAACCCTCTCCCAGACCCTTTGGTGAATAAAAGGGCGATGCGGCCTACCATTCTTTAATAGGATCTTCTTCGTACCAGTAATCCACATGTTTGAGGTTATTGTGCGGGTCATATTCGAAACCAACAGCTGCGGTGGGCATCCACTTGGCGTGTTCTTTGGCAATGCCCTTCTTGGCGATACATGTCATTTTAAGCTCTTGCCCACGTCGCAATTTACAGATCAGAGGTCCATTGCCTTCTGGATCAGTGATAACCGGGTTCCCGACCCATTCATTCGCCCGCTCGCCACTAACCACCAAGTCCCGCGCATACACGCGCATAATGTCATCACCGGTGCAGCGCGCATGTAAAGTAAGCGTCACGCTGCACCGCGCGCAGTGGTCCTCACACTCGCAGTCGCGAGTGTACTCAACGTCCTGGTCACAGTTCTTGGAATTAAGAGGGATGAGACCCAGTCGGTGGGCAAGAAACTCGTCCGGAAGCACAGAGGTGTTCTTCTCGACCTCAACTAGATCGATAGCAATAGTAGGAACTTCAGCAAGCATGGTTCGGCGGAGAGAATTGGCGAAGGCGAGATCGACTGAGCTGAGTTTGAAATCGACTCGGTAGGGTTCGGCCTACTGTTTTGTTAATCCCTGAGGACTCGTTTTGGCGCTTCTCTCCATAATTTGACTTAGTGTTCAAGAGTTTTGACCATACCTCTCGCACTGTAACCTGGGGCCCTGTAGGCTCGATATCCATTTCATAGTCCATGTTAGCGACGAAGCAGCGGTGCGAGCTGACAAATCCGAGTCGGAAACGGTGGCTTTAAATAATTTGTCTATTACGCAATTCAAGCTCCAAAGGAAAGCGGTTATATCAAATGACGACTTTGTCGGTCAAAGATGAAAGGAAAGTGAGACGGAGCTGGGTTTGAAGAAGAGCGCAAGTCGCGAGCGTTGAGTTCGGCTCCAAACTGAAGTTCCGCGCTTTCCCTATTTAGGTATCTATCAGATTTACTACCTAGAATCGACGATCTCATTCGCTCTTTAAAGTACCGGTCGAACAGATGACGCAGATAATGAATGATTCGAACAAGGTTATATTATCTAGTGTCTATGTCTATTACTTCGCCTGTTCGATACCTATATGCTAGCTGATACGAATGATATTACTCATGTGTCTACGTGGTCAATAAGAATAGCTTTGCTGGTTAATCTCGCAACCATCTGAGTCGTTTGGAGAATAGTCTTTTTTTGTGGGGTTTTCTTCTCTTCTTGACTCCTATTTCTGGATGAAAAAAAAAGGCCAGATCATCAACAAAGGCACAAGCAGACCCATGTCACCAGTAGGCCGGTTGCCCTAACCGCATAGGCGGTTTCCCCCAAAAAAGGCTGTAAGTAGATGGCTAAACCAAGTCAGAGTCAAAAGCAAAATTTGGTATCCAGATAACCAAATATCCTCTCCACGAGTAGGATTCAATAGAATGATGATGTTCAAGCAACACCAGTTGCAACTTTTTGTCCGTCCACTCCAGCGCTATCCACTGCGCTTCTAACTCTCTATTCGACGGATCGTCATGATATCTATAGTGGTGAGTGTATGAATCTGATGCCATGCGCATACCCTCCAGGGTCGCCAAGTGGTATGTCAAGCAAGGCACGTAATGACAACTCGAACTCCAGAATAGCACCGCCAACCATTACAAAAAAGGATGTTCAGACAAGAGAAGGCAAGCAAGAAGGTAAACCGATGTGGGAAATATTTTGTCAGGGAGAAAGGAAAGAATCACGTCAAGTCGTAACGGGAAGACCAAGAGATCGAAGATGATCTTCCAGAGGTTCCTCGCCTATTCAGATCCGGGAACGGAAAGTCAGGCAAGGTAAGGCAGTCGCTACCGCTTCATGGAACTGCGATTCAATGCCTCTAAGAGCTCTGGACGGCTCGCAAGAGCAGCTGCGGCTTGCGCATAGGAGACCCATTGACGCTTTCGTTTATGCATTTCTGGCCATTGCGCTTCTTCACGGTCAACGGTGACCTCAAAGAATTGGTAAGATGCCTTTGGTGCGTGCGACGTCAGTAGAGTAGACGGGCGCATGTCAGGGATCATTCCCAAATCTCTAAGCACTGTGCAGATTATGCCTCCCTCTTCCCAGGCCTCTCTGCAAGCGGCTTGTTGGGCAGTTTCTTCATCCGTTTCCCATCCACCTTTGGGAAGCACCCAGCCACCTCGACCCGCAGATTGAATCATAAGTACCTGTGATTTATCGGTTGACAAGGGAACCACACCGGCCACGAGACGTTCGCCTTTCGATCCATACCCTATCGTTGATATACACGTTAGCAATGGTATGCGCGACATAGGCAACGATAGCAAGGAGGGAATAAAATTCAAGGTGACGCGCATGGTTCTAACGGGGTATGGAGAGGGGCACGATTAGGTCCACGTGCTCCAGGGACAAGCACTCACGTTGGTTTTTCCGTCCTGTCCGGGACTCCATTGACCGAGTTTGGTCCACCATCTTGATCAAGAGACAGAGAATGAGTCAAACAATAAGAACCCTCTACGCCACCTGGGCTAGATAGGCTATAGATAGAGGAATTGGATGAACCTGTGATGTGCAGCGCGAGCTGCAGTCCACGCGACAAGGAACCAAAAGAGTGTAGGGTTTGCGGAAGATCAAAGAAAGGTTGTCAATGACACAATGACGAGGCGAAGTATATGGGATTAGAAGTTCGGAGATGAACTTTTTAAACTTCAAACGTCGGGTATTCTGAGCCAGACAAAAGAACTAGAGCTGGTGAATGAAAGCTGGTTCAGGACCCGTCGACCCTATTTTTTTTCTACCTCCGGAACTTGGAAAGTGAGGCGGTCGAAAAAAAAAAAAAAAAGTAGGGGAAATTTTTTGGAGGGGAAGGATTGGAAAAAAAGCTTCAGGAACTAGGTATCCCCGTTCACTCCCGCAGCGGACGGGAACCTCGAAGGTGATGTGAAGGTACAAGAAGACATGGTAATCAGGAGGGCAGCATAGAAATAAGAGAAAAGGATAGAGGGACAGGAAATGGGAGGAACGGAGGGGGAGGCGAGAGAACGGGGAATCAGAGACAGCTTAGGTTGGGAGTATAATGGGCGGCGCGGTCCGGCAGGACGAGTCGCTCTCTCTCTCGCCCGGAGCGGACTTTGCTGGGCGGTACTTACGGGTACGTACGGTACCATGATTCGGCCTCAATGGGTAACAGATTGGTCCGCATTTGTGTGCGGTGGGCATGCTTGGTATTACCGAGACAATACTAACCTCCGGTATGCCTCCCCTTAATCCCGTCTCCAGTTATCTTGATTGTATTATTATAATTTATTTTGAGTCTTATTCTGGAAATTCCACCCCCAGTCTTCTTTTTAATTATTATTATTATGTTCTTTTCTTTTCCTTTAATTTAGTAAACTTCTAGTTCTTACTCCCTTTTTTTTCCTTTTTTCTTTTCTTTTCTTTTTTTTTTTTTTTTTT